ACTCTGTCACTGCTGACAGCATTACAAAGCTAACTCCTGCCAGGGTCTGAGCGGAAGGGACTGGTTTTCATAATTCCTTTCTTACATAATGCCAACTGCATCTCCAGAATACATGAAATAAGTTGAGAACTAGCAGATTATATTTAGAAGTCTAATATTAGAGTCCCCCCCCCAAGTGACATCACAGCAGCCAACATTCAATTGTTATCAAGTGCTTTCAGATACTCAGATGCACAAAGTAGCTACGCTTGTTTGAACGCTGGTGAGAAAGGCAAGCCGTAGTGTCTGGAGAAAGCCCCTTCTCCCGCACAGACAGCATCCCCAGCGCGGGCCCTGCGCAGCCGCTCACCAGGGCGCTACCACAGAAAGCAGTGTCCCACTATCTAGCCAGCAGCTTCGTGTCCTCGAGGGGTTGATTTTGCTTATTTCATCTAAAAATAATGATTACAATCACTGCTTTAGCTAAGTGTAGAAAGGAAATGATACTGTACTATCCCATTTTATCGTTTCAGGTTTTAGAAACGTTTGGACATTTTCACATTATGGCCATTACACAAGGGGCCACTTCTGCCTCCCGCTAGAGTGCAAATCACATTGCCCAGAAAGCAAAATTTTATAATGATTTCAGGAATGGCACATAATACTTCAAAATGGAATCTAAACTGCCAGCCAATTCTGGTATCTTGATTTATTCAAATCAGGACAGAACTCTTGGCTGTACATCAGCCAACCTGGGCTTTCAACTGTATAGTATCGGCTTAGATATGGAGCCTTATGTTTGATATAACAAAGGGGATATTCAAGAAGCACAGCATGGAAAAAAAAAGTACTGGATGTGTGAATGAGTAGATTATATTCCCAACTGGATTTATTTGTTGAGACAGGGTCTCACTGTTTAGTTCAGGATGGCCCTAAACTCCTACATAGCCCAGCCTGGCCCTGAACTCCACGATCTCTCCTGCCTCAGCGTCCTGAGCAATCAGATCACGGGGATGTGCTACCCTGCCTGGCTCCAAGAGGTTCTGAACCTCACAGGTGGTGACCTGGCCCACCCTACAAGGCTAGGCACAGCATCAGTCACACACAGGATTTTCCCGAAGCATTAACCATTCTAAGGAGAGAATGGAATGAGGCAGGAACAAGAAAGGAAACACTGCACCGACACACACCAAGAGCCACCACAGGGCCGCTGGGAAGGCCACGCAAGAGGCTGAGGGCCCCGAGTTCTGCTGCGCTAGAGGGCATGGAAGGGACCCAGACCGTGCCTCGTGCCAGCGAGGGACAGTGCTGGCAGGAACCCAGAAGCCCGCAGAGTGCTCCTGGCTTTCAGTCTGTTGCTTCATTTATAAAATGGGGTACGTGATGCCGCCTCAGAAATAAAGAAAATGGCACAGCACCTTGCAGGTGGCGCTATGATGTTGAATAATTACACGCTGCACTTTCAAAAACAGAGAAGCTCTGCACAGCCAACTTACTGAA